TGCCAATGCGTCCACTTTCTCATTGAATGTGTTTCCAGAGTGAGCTTTGATTTTGTGTATTGTAATTGATAAGGAACTTGTATCAATAACTTTGAAGAAGCAATTCTAAATGTAAACATTGCTAATTTTGAGAAATGGTTTTCGTGATGGTGAGATATCCAAAAGCATTTTATATTTGTTGTATTGTGAGATTACCACCAAGGAATCTGTAAAAATTTTAATTTTGTAATGTTGAGGAGCTACCAAAATTGCCGTGAAAATAGCAGCAAGTTCAGCAATGGAGGAGGATGGAAATGATGAAGTAAGTGCTGATGCAAAAGAAAGCAAAGGGAAACTGGTGCAGTTTAGATCCAAGCCAGACCCATTCGTAAGGAAGGTGTACCTAGATTGACTAAAGAGCCATTATTATAAAATTCAAGATAATTAGATGAAATAAATTGGTCATGAAGCGCTAACAATTGTTATGCATGATGATGTGGTATGAATGAATCTATAAATAAAGGAAGTAAAGGAGGAGTAAAAGGTAAATTAACTAGTGTAGTGTTAGGTCTATTAGACTTTACAAATTTAGCGAAGGCAAAATCATTAATTAAAGTATGGGACCAAGTACAATATGAAACAGGTTCTGATTTGTTTTGGTAAATTGGTATTTGAAAACACAAATCAGAAGGAATAGAAAAGAAGCAACTAGTTTTTTTTCGTTTCATACTGAAACCTTTGGATACAAAAACTAATGAGTCATAATATAAGCATCGAGAGCATTCTGTGAATAAAGTTTTATGATTGTGACCAATCATGGGGATGAAATGCATCACATGCACTTGATCCGAATCAACTTTTAAAAGTTGTCCCACGAATGGTTTGTTGTCACCCATGTGCCATCCCAGGACGAAGATATTTTTGTTTTTGTGTTTTATTGGTGATGGGAAATCGTATCGTAAAGAGACAACATGAGAAAAAGACGCAATAGTCTCTCTAGAAGAACTGTTTGAAAGAAGTGCCATTTGTAAGGTATCAAACCACCTTAGATATTTTGTTACCTGAGGAACGTCTAGTCGTACGCAATAATCGTAAAATGTTAGCATCTGATTACCGTCTGTATTAACCAGTTGCTCTATGAAGAGTAAAGAATAATGCCGTAACTCTTTCACAATTCCTCTATAATTGTGTTGTATAAATGACGAGATAGGAGTATTTCCTCCAAAAATAAGATTAGGACGAACATCGTTCAGATCGAATAAAATGTTTAAATGTTTTCAATCGTAGGAGACATGAGAACCAGTCCTTGAAATTAGCAGCGTTATTATAAGGCCACAGGATGAGAGAAAATTGATGAAGCCATTCTTGATGTTGCAGTTGTTGGATATGAAGTCTGATAGTAGTACCTATAATACCAGAATCATTCATCATATAAAATAAAGCTTCACTGTGCGCTATAAGGAGCCGCTGATAAAAGTCCGATAAGTTATAAAAGAGATGCGAATGAAGAATTGATGAAGGGGTGTCACGTGATAATTTTAACTTTTCTTCATGAAGGCAGTAAATGGTGACACAATTCCTTTGCATTGTTTTAGTAAAAAACGTTAATTGAGAGCGGTATTTAATGCGTGGGATCAAAACTGAATTAAATATATAAACTAGTTGCTTGTCAGTCAATCTTTTGTGATTTATGATTAAAACTGCTGATTTAATTTCATTGGTGATAGATTTACTAATGAATGATTTGTTAGATCTTAAAGATATCCAGACATCTAGATATTTTGCTGAGTCATTGGTAGGCCGAGGAGTAACAGTAGTCGTGCCATTGATAAAAGGTAAGGTGATTGACTGACAGAGTCTGTCGTTGTTTGTAAGAAGGACTGATTTCTCCCAATTAACTTTAATGAAATTAAGCTCATAGAAACTGTCTGCGATTTTCATTATTTCGGTGAGATCTTCTCTTGATTTTGCAATTCATAGAGTATCGTCCATATATGCAAGCGTAGCAATCTTGACAGATTCATTTAACGTAGCACTGGTAGAAACATCTGGTCTCCATTAATAAGACAAATTATAACCAAGTGGCGAGTCGTGTATTCTGCATAAGAGTAGATCATAATAGATACACCACAAAAGAGGAGAGATAATCTCTCCTTGGTCAATACTGGAGGTGACTCTATAAGAATCTGTGTTTCCAAAAAATGTAAAAACTTGGTTAAAGCGATTGCCAAACATTTTAAGTATGAATCTAATAAAATTAAAGGGTATGTGCAGTCTTTCAAGTGCTCGAACGAGCATGAATAAGTTTACACGATCGTAAGCTTTAGACATGTCTTGCATCAAAACCCAGAGGTCTTTATTGTTGACGATAGAATCGTATTTAATGTTATCTAAAATACGAAGTGGTTCGAATGTTGATTTGTAAGTAAGTCCTGCAAAATTGAGTCCCTTTAAGACATTATGTCGAACCATAATAGTAGAGAGTCTTCTATTTATTAGTTTAATAAAAGCTTTCTGGGAGCATTCTAAAAAAGTGATTAATCTTGTGTTATTCATATTATATTCCTATGGTTTGGGTTTTGGAATAGGATAGATGAATGCATGATTCCATCGGTGGGGAAGTGTAGAAGCAGCCACACAAAACTGAATAATGTACCAAAGTATTTTATTCGTGTGAGGACCCAGATGTTTAAGCATCTCGTTCGATACTTTAGAAGGATCAGGAGCTTTACCATTTGGCAGAGTAGCGAGGACCTCATACCATTCGTCAGCTGTTGGTAAAGCTATGAGATCATTATAAATAGATTTGTTGACATGATCCACTGGCTTATAGGATTGACTCCAATCGTCTGGGATATCCTTATTCTCATGTGACGTGCTAGCTGCAAATTGAAAGTGGTGGTTAATCGCATTCTTAACGTGTGTTTTATCAGTCAAAAGGTCACGTGATAAAGATGATGGATCAAGACATCTATCCAAAATAATAGTTTTCCTTGAGCGGTTGAGAACTGAATCAATCATTCTAGAAGGAGCTGTGGCATAGTTATCAAGCCTAGACTCAATTGCTTGCTGAATTGACTTTAATTTAAACTCTTGCTCATGAAGTTTAGTTTTAACGAGAATATAATTAAGAACTATTTTTGAACAAGATATTAATGATTGTATTAAGGCAACTTGTGGAAGTGGTGGTAGAGAAACTAAGTTGATTTTATGCTTATGAGTGACATCATAGAATTTAATAGAAGATAAAACCCAATCCTGCAGCAGATTATTCGTTTGGCAAGTCATTTTGATTTGCTTAGTAAATTTATATAAGAAACGAAGTTTCGAATATAATTTGGATAACAAGGGCAGCTTCTTTAATTTATGTGGACCCTTGGATTTATGAGAAGGTATAATTTGATTAGCTGCTTAATGATACAAGCCTGCAGTAAGTCCTAATATTGATTGAGTTTCGTCTGGTTAAGTTTTGTATTATACTTGAGAAGGCGCAGTTCACAGCTGTTAACGAGTCCATTAAGTTTGGTTTTGAATTCAGTCCAAAGTTCTTCATTCATTTTGTCATAATCATACACAGTTTTCTTAGATATATTATTTTTGTTATTTTTAATATTGAGGAAATTTTCAACAGTACACACAACGATTCAATGATCTGAGACTTGTGGTAAGACCGGTTCAGTATTACAAGTAGTGAAATTAAAAGCAAGTTCAGGAGAAGTCCAAACAAAGTCAATACGAGATGTTGATAAGAATGACATAAAAGTCGGATATTTAACACGATCATTAATATGCTTTAAAGTGTATGCGTCGAATTCTGAAGTGTTATAAAAAATTCTTTGGCACCATTTGGATTATGAGGTCTATCCATATCTGCATTAAGATCGCCTGATAAAAGATATGAAAATCCTTAGCTATGACATCAGTAATGATTTTAATTAGTTCTTTTTGTATCTTCTTTCGTTTAATGATATCAGCGGGCGGGAGATAGCAGTTGATAAAACACAATTTTTGTTTGTTGGGAAATTGGAGATCGACATAGATAATACAATTTAATCTATAATAGGGAAAAAAGACGTGGTTAGCCAAAATCAGTTTTAGAAGTATGCCTATTCCGAAACCAGTTTTAGGAGTCATCTGGTCAGAGTTAAAGAAACCTATGAAATTTGGATGTTCTCTATTGAAGGGTTTACAATGTTGTTGATGAAAATTCATTTCTTATAATCTGATGGCGTCTATATTGAGTAACGAATAATGTTCTAAAAGTGTATGTTGTTTGGCTGTATTAGTAAAACTACGTACATTGTGAGAGGCAAAAGAAATAAATAGAGAATGGGTATGAGTAGGAAGTGTTGATCTAAAAGTTGATGCATCTTGTGCATTATTATCAGTAGGGATAGTATTCATAATAAAATTAATATTTTTGGACATTGTTGAGGTAACCCTTGACTTCATCATCAAAAGCTACTCCAATCGGGAAGATTTTATTAGCTTGTTCTTGTGGAAGCAAATTATTTTTGAGCAAGATGCTTTGAAAGGAACTGCAAGAGTGGGCAAGCGT